CTACATTTACAACCCAGTTTGGGAAGTAACATTGCCGAATGAACCCCGCATCAAGTAATTTCTTAACTTCGGCGGCTGCCGCCTGACTTCTCTCTTCGCCATGGTTCCGTTTCTTCTGCCTTACCGGCTTCTTTTTCGGATCCACAGCCAGTTTATGTACCGTCAGGTCAGGACTGATGCCTGGCATTTCATGGACTTCGAATGCAAAGATGTCTTTGTATTCTTTCAATAGTTTGTGAAAGTCGTCACCCAGGACTCTTAGAGCAGTCGTCCCAACCTTGATTGTTCGGTCAAGACGCGAGTCGTCTAGAATCAGGTCCGTATGCTCACCAGCCGGCTGAGGGCAGAATTCATCCGAACGCTCCTCTGCCAATGATTGCTATTTTTTCTCTTTTCTTGCGGCCCCCATCTGGGCAGCCTTTCTCTTCTTGCCGCCTGCTTCTTGAACAGGCGCACTCTCCCTGACATTGTCAAGGTCTGTTTTTCAACCACTTGACCCAGCGGCCATGACAGTGGGCTTGATATCCGAGAGATAGCACTCTCGGGCCATCTTCTGATCTCCCCTTAGGAAGCCGACTGTTCCATCATCCCTCTCAAACTTGAGCAACATAAGAGATAGGATTATAACAGCCTTGGAATTATTCAGGGTTGGTCGTCCCAGAATCATGTTGTAGGCCGAGAGTTCCTCAACTACCAAGAACCGGACCACCATGTGTCGACCTTCCCCTTTTTCACCCAGACGGATGGGTAAATCCACTCGTCCCACTGGGTGGACAACTCCTCCTCCAAACCCTACAAGAGGGTGGGATACCGGATGTATGCAATCAGTCTGATATTTGAGTTTTGACAGACATTTGCTACTGATAAGGTCTGAGGAGCTGCCGGTATCTATTAGGATTCGGCCAACTCTCTGGTTGGCCACTTTACATTCAATAACAATGGGGTCGTCATGCGGCCCCCTTACCCCTCCTAAATCTTCTTCAGTGATGACAATCTCAGGAAAAGAATATTTGGAGGGCCGTTCTTGGTGAACGGAATTGACGTCTAGCCGCCTGATATTGTCTTTATTGCCCCTAATAGTGGGGCCGCCTCCTAAGAAGCCGCCTGCAATGGTGTAGACGATTGCATCATCTGTATCAGAGCTATCGACCTGTTGATTCTTTTGGGCCGACTGCTTCTTCGAGGAAGAGGTCCCCTTAGATTTCTTGACATAAGAGTCAAGATCGCCTTGTTTAGCCAGGCGGTCCAGATACCGCATGAGGCTGATGCATTCGTTGGTTTGATGACCAACATCTTCATGATAATCACAAAATTTTTCTTGGTTTCGGTTGCTCGCAGAACCCTTCATGGGGGCCGACTTCTCAATTGAGATCCGTCCCTTAATTTCTTTTAGGATAGCTTGGCTATCCTTGTTAAACGCATACTTCGGGGAGTATGGTTTAAACTCTTTCTTCTTTTTCTGGGCCGACTGTTTAGAGGAATCAACCGCCCAAACCTCTTTTCTCTTTTTCTCATCTTTGTTGGACGACTGTTTCTGTCGTCCTTATTTTTTGTAGAACCTTTTCCCGTCCGACTGTTTTCCCGTACTGCAAAGATCAGTCGCCTGTATATAGGCTTCTGCTTCAATCAAGGCTTCTTGAAGAGTCTCCACCCTTTTTCGAACTAAATCAAACTTGAAGGTCGACCCGTCTTTGAGGCCTCTGAAAAAGTCAATGTAGGCCACCTCATCCGGTAGCCCTTGAATCTGTATTCGCATCAGGTTAAACCGCCTGATGTAAGAACGAAGCCCCTCCTTCTCGCCCTGCTGAATCGTCCCTAAATCAAGGGTCGTATTCTTCGTAGGTATGTTCATGGCAAAGTTGGAGGTAAATAAGTAAACAAGCGTCCTGAAGTTATTTACACAACCAGTCGGCAGGTTGCCAAACCATTGTTGGGCGATTCCTTTGAGAGTCGCTGGAAAACACTTGCACCAAGTGGGATCATCCAACCCTTGAAGATACATCAGGTTGGTGAATGCCATCAAATGGTCTTCTGGGTTAGTAGTGCCATCATAGGCGCCTAATAACACATTTTTCACTTTGGTCGGCTGAGCGGCTTCTGTAATTTCCTTGGAGAAAGCCGACGGTTGTTCCCCAAGTCTAAGCAACCGTAGCTGCCAGTCCATAGGTTGGACATTCTTTGCCGCATGTCCTCCAAACAGAGGTTGCTGCAAAAAATATTGTTGTTGCGGTACAAATGGCAAGTTTGGTACCGCCTGGTCACTATGAAAGCCGAACTGACTGGAGGTACCGCCTGTCTGACTCTCATGATGTGACAGAGTATACCTCATAGAGGTATTGCGCAGACTGTCTTAGAAGTCTGAAGTAGAGGCCGACTCTGACAGTCGGTCATTCTTCTTCTGCTCGAGCAGTAGCCGAGCATCTGTGTATGTTTTCTTCGACCCGTCCGCCTGAATATGACGAACGGGTTTCCTCTTTCCTGGAGTAGGAAAGCGGTACTTTGTGAAATCAAGGGCAGGCGGCTCCCACTTCCTAGAGTTGGGATGAGGGGTCGCCTCTCGCCCTTGAACAGGCTTCCTCTTCCCTGAAGAGGAAGGTTTTTTAGCCGACTGCTCCTTGGCCAGAGCAGGCGTTTTTCTGTTGAGCAACTCTTGAATCTCTCCCTTGAAGCCCCTCATGAAGGTCATGAGTTCGTTCCTTGTAATGGGAGCAGACCCATCAGCCGGCTGTTGCTGAACAGGCGGTGCGCCGACTGGGTCACTGAGTCCAGTTTGAAGATCTTCCCGTTCTCTCCTTTCGGTATGACGGGTGCGCCGGGCCCTTAGGGTCCCCTCTGAAGCTGTATGAGCTTCAACTTCAAATTCTTCTTCAGTATCATGGTCCGACTGAACTTGAGGGTCATCCAGGGGACGCCTCTCTTCAAGAGTCGGTACAGACGTGGATGCCATCTCAAAAGTACTCTCCCCACAAACGACGCCAAAATGTTTCGGGGTTTTTTTGATGTCCTACGGGAGAGTTACAATTCCGAGACGGGAACCGGACGCCTGTACCTGCAAAACAAACGGATGCTCCGGATGATTGGAGATCCGCCTCCAACGGTCAAGTTAGTACTTGATTAAGGAGTAATTAATGCGAAAATAAATGTAATTTGGTCTCTCTAGGTGAGAGTGTTTTATGTGCGTAATCCCCCTTAATGAGGATTAATGGGCATATTTATAGCCGTGGGATGCGTGCCAGTACTAGGTTTAGGTTAAACCTAAGACTGACTGGGCTTCCCACCAAGATTGGGCCTTGTTGGCTGATTTACCTATTTGGCATGATGGACACGTGTCGCATCACAATTGGTCCATGGAGGACGTATCTCTTGATGACACGTGGCAGGCTCCTATTGGCCTACGTAAAGGACACGTGGCGAAACCTGGCTGGTCCACGTGTCGGATGCTGATTGGTGGATAAAAATCCCCTAATCAGGTTAAATCCAAACTTACGGCTGAACACTTCTTAGTGAAGATTATTAGGGTGAGGGGGTATTTATACCCTCTCATAAAAGAGATTAAAAATCCTTAATAAAACATAAATTTTATCAAAATAATATATATGTATATATAAAAATTCTAATTTTATATTTTATCAAATCGTAAAATATACGGGTATTACAATCTACCCTCCCTCCTTAAAACAAGTTTCATCCCCAAAACTTAAAATAGAAAAATTACGGGTATTACAATCTACCCACCTTAAAACAAGTTTCGTCCCGAAACTTAAAAAGAATAACTTACTCGTAAATTTGAGAGAAAGTAAAACCAAACCAAACTTTTCTTTATAAAATATATATAGATGGAGTATAGAATTATTAGGGGTATTACACATATAATCTAGAGCTGCAAGCTAAGCTCCAATTTTGGCCTAAATCGATTGATTCAATTAAGCCAACGACCAAGGTTTCTTGAACTTGTTGGTAATAATGCTGATAGATGGAGATGGTCAGTGAGTTTGAATGGTGAAGATCGAGAGCAACCAAAGAAAGGAAAGAAAAACAGGGTTGATTTTGGGGGTTTTCATAGAAAGAGGGAAAGAATAGGCGGTTTTGTGGTGTACCGGTAGTTGTGGGGGGACGAGGAGGAACGACTGATGATGGGGGAGGGGCAGCCGGAGTCAGTGGTAGGGGGAAGCCTAGGCGCCGCCGCTGGCAGTAGAGGGGGAGAGGGGACTATGGGAGGGAGGTGGCCGGGGGGAGGGGTGTTTAAAATACTAATTAAATTAAAATTAATTCAGTTAAACTTAACAACCACTTGACGGTTTATAGTAGATAGGGTTACAGAAGTGAAAACGTTAAGAGTGCGAGGCTACCATTGATTAATTGTTATACGAAGTGGCTACTAATGAAAACACGCAAAAGATTACCAATGAAAATTTTCCAAAATTATAAAAAGTTGATAATTTAAAAATATATATCGTGACAAATCTACGAAGAACCCGACTATATTTTTCTAAAAAAACCCGAGGAAGTTATTAATAGCGCATTGGTTGCTTGTACCATTAAAAGTTACTCGTATTAATCGAAAACAAGTGATTTTATGTGTGGCGTAACATCTGAAGCGGCCAAGACACAATCAAGACCTGTTTTTGAATTTGGGAGTGAAATCCTCAAGGTCGCGCCAGACTTCTTCATCGTTATTCTTGAAGCTTAGGGCTTCCAAAATCTCAAATTTGGTGCTTGAATTCTTGCATTTTGCTGGAAATGCTGCTGCTGATAAACCCTTGCAAATTCTGAATTTCCCCCTTTTAAAAAAAAATCAATGGCGGGTATACTGAAGCAGCTTCGCAGTTCATTCACTGTAACGCCACATAAAGTTTCAGTGTGTATTCTTGTTCAAATCTATGCAACTCCTGGTCCATTCTTTCTTCCTGAGCCTTTTTCTTCTGTTTCACATCACAATTCCTTCGGTTTGTTTTTGGTTGCTTTGATTAAGGTACAGTTACTACTCCTCAATATTTCAATATTTTTAATTTTTTTGTGATTTTTTGATTTGGGTTGTTGTTGATTCATTTTTTTGTGGTTACCCTTTAATTTGATTGTTCTTAGGGTAATGATAATGAAGCTAAAATGTAAATTTTTTTTTGTAATCATAATTGGGAACTGTGACCTTCCAACCTTTTAACTTTTGATTTGGTAATTTGATTTGGGATGTGTTTAGTTCATATTAGTTGGCTACCCGTTAATTTGATTGGTCTTGTGATGATGTTAGTGAGGATAATTTGTCGAAATTCTGACTGTAATTGTAATTGAGGACTAAGTCTTGTAATCTATTGATTGCCGAGGAGCCGAGTTCGGTGTTGTTAGTGTAGAGTCAGATTATCAGTACATCTAATCGGATTGTTTAATTAAACTTATGAAGGAGTGTGTTATAAGTTTGTTTTAAATGTTACTCAGGATTTGTGTTAACCTTAATCTTTTGGATGGGGTTGTTATTGAAAGTTGAAATTCTTGAAAATTGTTTTAATTGCTGTCAAATGTGACTTTTTGTCACTGCATGTTAGGGAATGCAAGTGATTCTTTACTATTTGCTTCCCACAAGAGTTGGTTTCCTGTTCTATGTCGATGGAATGAAATTTATGATGGACAACTGATCTATCTTATAGGATTGCCAGCTCAATTTATGGGGTTTATTAATGAATTTTAAAGGTGATCAAAGAGGTTGAAGCTAATTCTCTAATGGTGACAGTGCCATAATTTTTCATTAAGCCTTCTTTAGTAAAATGTGCAAGAATAGAAGGCCGGAGAATTTAATGTAAGGAACTAAGATGGGCTGATGGGGATGCGCTTGAAACGGGCTTCATTTGTAGGCTTCAGGTTTGAGTTGTATTTAGGTTCTTGTTCTTGTTTTAATTTGAATCTTGTCCTTAATCTTGCATTTGTAACTTTTTCTATCTTAGAAGCTCCATTATTAGTTGGTGTCATGGTTGTGCTACCTTGGTTCTCTTGTCCATTTCCAAAGGTGTGTTATTGTAATTCTTTCAATTTGATGGCAGCAAGATATACCGTCTAATTTTCTCTATCTTGGATTGGCCATTGTTATATGTCATTAGTTCCTTTTTGTGTTCTGAATTTTTGTTTCTTAGGGTGTTGTTCAATTTATTACAAAAGACGTATTATCCTTCAGTGAAATCTCACATATTTTTTCTATATTATCTTATTAATTTTTGTGTGTTTATTTAGCATTGCCTTTTCATTTACATTGTCTTTGTCAATTTCCGGAGTTATCTCTATTTATTTTTTATACTCCGTGTGTTATTTCTCTTGTTTTTGGTCCAAATTTTCTTCAGCATACATATTAGCACTGAACATATTCTACTGATTGATGGCATCACAACTTTCTTTCAGTCTTATGATGATATAATGGAGCCAAAGCTAGATAAACTTCTATCTCAACTGCGGGAAATTGGTGGTATGCTAGACCAGAGATTAACTCACAGGCTATCATCATTGTCATCACCTGATGAGTTGTTTAATTTTTTCACTGAATTACAAGGTGAGTCCTTTTCATTTTATTATTAGCCATTTCTTAGCAAATTAACGTTTCTTTGTCAAAAGTCTAGTTAAAATTGGTTCTGTTTTGAATCATGAACCTGAAAATTTGTAAATTGATGCACTTCTTTTAGGCATTCTGGGGGGTCAAGACTCGAGTGTTCTAGAAGATGATCAGATTAGTCTGGACCCTAGCAGCAACCTTGGAATGTTTCTGCGTCGATGTATACTTACCTTCAATGAACTATCCTTTGAGGTAATAATTGATCTTTATTGGTTATCAAATTTGAGCAGCCAACATTAGAGATTTTATACAACTCTTCAGGAAAAATTGCAGAGAATGGCCTGATTATTATGCAGGTGCAGATGCCAGCGCAGCATTTCCGCATACTATAAAAAAACACCAATGATTATGTTGAATGCAAGTATTGACATGATGTCCATTGGCAGAAAAAGTTTTTGTTGGAGAGCTGACTTGTTTGCAATTATTAACAATATTTTTTTCCTTAAGACAATTAAGCTTTTTTCAGTTAAATGAAGTTTTAATACCACATTCATCTCCCATCCTCTGTACGTTGCTCCTTCTCCTTCCACCATGAAGCCAAAATCCACTAGTGACATCCTCTACCTCTTTGGATCAACATCTTTTAAAAAAATTAAGTCGAAGTTAATACATGATTAGTGTACAAATCCAAGAGGATGCAGTTAAAAAAACCGGAGGGAGTAATCTCAGATGGTTTAATACTCCGTATAAGATAATCTACTTTTTTCTCTTTAATCCTCTTTATGTGCTTTAATTATTCTAATTTTTATTGCAATTAATATTTGCGACATGACATGCTTATTTGGCACTCTGCATGCTCTTGGAAAGTTCCTCTTTATAAAGGTAGTAGACTAGACATTAGAAAACCAAATTTCATCTGTTTCTTTGCCTGTTTTCTTCCTGCTTCTCTATTGTCTCATGCTTGTTCTTTGTGCCTTTTGGTATTAAGAAATCATACTACTTTTTTTTTTTTCTCCCTCTTTGTTGATGGCTTGATGCTGTCTTTCTGTCTTGTGTGAACTACTGAAGTGATAGATGGCTTAAGGAAAATGCTTCTGAATAATGTATTGATAATTTCTTTTGCTGTACATTTTTGTTTATCATGCAGGGAATATGTCATCTGCTGTCAGATTTAGAATCATACTGTAAAGAAGTACTATCTGGTTCTCCTTCTTTTGATTTGACTCGATTAGATGGCTGTACTGATGAATCTGAGAGATTAGTGGAATATGAGAAGATGGACCTGGATAGTTTTGCTTTTCAGGAACCTACTGAAAAAGCTGAAACAAGTAATAGAGCTGGTAAAGGAATTTCATTCCATCTACATGTGCCAAAAGTCCTTGATGAGCTGGTTGAAGGTAAGTTTATTGTCTGCTTGTAGCAACACAAGTAGACGGGCTATGGTGGTTTTACCGGATTTTTTTTTTTTAATGCATCTCTGCTTCCAAAGTTCCAAGTGTTATAGGCAGCTAAATTAATCAATCAATCAAAATATCAGCTTCTATGAGATTTGTCTGACAGGATAGCTGCAATTCTATACATAGAAAGCACTAGAGCAGCAAATAGTTGTTCCATGTTGGATTTTCTTAGGTATCCTTCATGAAGAAATTGATGATCATTAATGGCGAGATGTCACAGTACTTGACAAAGCTGAGACTACTTCCAAAAGGGAAAAAATCCCTCTTTGACTTTGCTATTGCCTACCATTCTGTATCATTCTTTACATGTATTTGACCAGAACATTCTCCAAAATAGATATATAGAGCTAAAAGTATGGAAGTATGATTCTGAAACTTATCGTAATGAAATCAAACAACCTTTACACATTCTGTACCTACAAACAAGGGTGCAAATTTCTTCATCTACACTTAGGAGCCTCAACCAAAATTCAATTTCAAGCTCGAATGAGTACACCTCTCCCCGTAAAAGCTTTCTTTTTTCTTTTACTTTTCCTTTTCTTTTTTGTTTGGAGAGGGGGTGGAGGGAGTGGGATGTGGAGGGATGTGGAGACAGATAAAGAATAGGGGCGTTTCTGAATCAGACAAAAACTCTGTGTCCGAGACTTCAAGTACTTTGTGAACACCTATTGGGTTTACGCCTTGTCTAAATGCATTGCTTTCAATATACCTGCATAAACACATCACAAAGCAAATGGTTACAGCCTTACAGGTTCCCTATAATACACTATGTAGTTTCTATGATTCAAAAGGTTTAGAGAACCCACATTTCTTTCAAGAATGAGTGCTTATAGAATGCATCAGGAATTCTCCCACTAAAGTGATTGTGATCCAAGTACCTGAAAATTACAGAGCTTGATAAATGATACAATGCGTAGCCATATGATCTCGAGTATAATTTTGTCAGCATGCCAAAAAGTCGATCTAGAATTTGAACTCTTCTTCCAATTCCCTCTTCCCCAAATGACCAAACTTGAAAGTACTAGGAGTCCTTAAGCTTAAAAGCACACTAGAAGACAGACAAAATTGGTTTTGGAATCCTGAATTAGGGGTGTACAATGATCATTCTTATAAATCATGTAAAGATTATCAACACCAAAGATTTCTTTTCTATATTTTTAAACTAGGGACCAATAACAGATTGCAGTTATTTCAATGCATTAAATTATAGAGAATTCAGCTGCTCAAATTTCACTGTATACAGGCAGTTAGAGTTGAGACTTACAGATATGTCAATCTAGGAAGACGAGCAAGGGCAGATGGAATTATTCCAGTCATTTTGTTGTATGACAGATGCAAACCATAAATGTCTCATACGATTCAAGAGAAAGAAAAATAACTTGCTTAAGAGAGTAAACTGTACAACTTGTCAAAAAAAAAAAGGGGGTTTGGGTTTGGGGGGGGGGGGTTACTTACAAGATCTCCAAGTTCGTTAAATTTGCTAGCTGAGCCGGAATTCCTCCAGTCAAATAGTTATTATTCAGATAGCTAGACATCTTTTCTATTATTTATGTAAGCTATTTTAAGAGATGAAACACGACCTTTGCAGGGGAATCTCTTGCTTTTTCAAAACCTATTTACTCTATGTGCTGCTTTCTTTCTCAATTCCTTAATTAACTTGTTTGTGCCTTCTTATAAGTTGCCATGATGACTGTGTATTACCTATAAGTAACTACTGAGGAATATGTATTACGAGCTTTGTTTTAAAATTTATTGACGACAATAGAAACTTTGTTTATCTTGCTTAGAAAATGCTTTGTTTTAGGCTTAGTTTTCCTGCCATAGCAATCCAGAAAAGTGAATTTCTTTTAAAGCATTTTTGTAAAATAATTGACTTTGTGGGAAGTCGCAGTTGTAAGTTTGAGTTGTTGATTTGTCATTGACATTGTAGGATTTGTAACTGGTTGCATAGAGGCTTCTTTTAAAATTATTCTTGTCAATAGCTAATTTGAAAAGAAGACATCTAAATTTGTTAAATTGTGACTTAGAAAGTTGGTGTTTTAAGTGTAGGTGTTGAGGTTTCTGCGGCCGTGAAGCATAGTGCCAAAGCCAAAGAATTAAGCCCATTTATGCTCCCAGAAACTGATGCACTGGATACAGATGATGACAATGCTGGTAAATTTTTGCGTTCAAATTGGCAAGTTCATGGATACTTGCTACAAAAAGCTGATGAAATTGAAAAGTATGCATTTTTTGATGTTTAATTTCATTTTGATTCATTTATGTTGTTTCTTAAAATCTGAGAGGTATGCATGTTCCAGGCACGGAAGTTCTTTTCCTCTGAATACTCTAGAATCTGATCTGAAGCAACTCCATAAATTGGCTCCTGAATTACATCGTGTAAGTATTAGTATACTGATCTTTTCCTGGTGGAGGGGACAGCTATTTTTTTGGTAATATTGCCTTGTCAGGTGTAAGTTGTATCACAAAGATTGGTTTTAAGCTATAATATTATCCGTTTCCTTAAACAGGTCCATTTTTTGCGCTATTTAAATATGCTGCATCATGATGATTATTCTGGTGCTTTGGAGAATCTCCATCGTTATTTTGATCATAGGTGAGCATTGAAAGGCATATTTGGCATCACTCTATCCTGTTAAATATTCACCTTGAGTCTTTTTGTTAGCTTTCTTTGTTGGGATAGCTATGTTTTCTTGCTTGAACCTACTATAATGACTGCACTTGTTTTTTGGGTATATTTCGTCAAGAGATCAACATTGTAATTATGATTGAAAAAATTATGGAAATTATAGTATAGCTATTCCTTTGTCCCTAAATAAAAGTCTCATTTGCCTGTTGCACATGTTTTCAGGATGGTGAATGAAAAAATAAAATAGTGGAGTTTAGTTGATTAAAGGTGAATATAAAACACATATCATGGGGTTTGGTTGATTAAAAGAGAATAAAAAAAAGTAGGGTTTGGTTGATTAAAAGCAAATTAAAAAAAAGAAGATTTTAGTTGATTAAATTTGGATAAATAATAGATATAGATGAGATGAGACTTTATTTGTGGACAACATATTTGGGTGAAATAGGAATTTTTATCTGGGGACGGAGGGAGTAAGTTGGTAATTTTAGTCAAATATATCTTCATATGCTTAAAGGATGAACCTGGTGTGCTTAAAAACATAGCCACGTAGGTGTGTAGAAAGAACACTTGGGACGTGATGCTACCTAGTTTCCGGTACATTGCATTAAAAAGTTTGGCTCTTGTATATGAATTTTAGGTTTTACAAGTTTGTGAGGTTTCTTGTAATTACAGTGCTTTCATACAGAAAGCTAAACAAATGAGAACAGATTTCAATGTTGGTTTGAAATTTTAAGACACAAAACTTGGTTTGAATTGAAAATGAAAGACAAGAAAAGCAAGTAGCTTTATAAATTTAAGTGGAGAAGGTTGATGCATCTTTGAACCATTAAATTGCTGTTTAAAGCTTATTCATTGTGTACAATTTTAAAAAATTGAAAAATTGCTTCTTTTTGGTGTGATGTAGAAAGGGTTAGAGGATATTATATCCTTATCTAATATAAGAGTACTAGTGTATAGTCTTACTAAAATCCAGAAGGCTCCCCTCCTAGTCCACCACCTAGTGGGGTAAAGAGGAGCATGTTGGAAAAGGAAAAGAATATGTGGAATGGTACTGTGTACTGCTGATGAAGGGTAGTGACAAAATGCATTTTGTTCCCAAACTTTCTTTTATATGATAACACCTTGCTGGAATTCCAATAGTTATACTCATCAAAAAAGCCGAATAGAAGATAGAATAAAAATAGTAAAAGGAAAGAGGGAATAGGCAAAATTGAATTCTGTATTTACCAAAAAAAAAAAAAAAAAAAAAAAAAAAGAAAATAATATTTCTGTATTACCTCTAGTCCCTTTGTCAGTATGAGCTGCTGAAGTTTTTTAGTTTTATGTTTGAGAAAAAAGTGCTTTAGCAACTATGTAAGTATATCAGTTACAATTTTTAGATCCTTCAAGTAATAGTTGAATAATCTTAATCCCTTGCAAGAAGAATGGCTTCACCATTATCAGCTCTACATAAATTTTCTGGTGGATCTTGTAAATACTGTATTTAGTCTTATGACTTGAAAAGATGTTGTGATTTGTTTCTGCAAGACCGTCAACATACACATCTCCACCTAGCCAACAATTTGTGTGAAATCTTATAATTTGACACCTTACTGATTACGTAGCCTTTATAATTAGCTGCTGCAGTATTCATGTGTATGATATGTTCTTATATTTCGTTTTGTTTTCGGTTGGTTTTATGGTGGAGGGGGGGGGGAGTTGGTTTTTCTTGGCAAAGTGCTGAAGATTTCTCAATTAAATGCACCAACAAATTAAGATGATGAAGTTCTGCATTTGATGATTAGCTTAGTGTCAATTTTCTGATTTTCTTTTAGATATATATACCTTTGCATGTTTTATTGAGTTCCTATCGAAAGTAGGAAGGGCACCTCCTGGGTGATGTTGAGTGGAATCCTTTGTCCCCTTGATACCGTACTTCGAATGAAAGGAGCTTGTACATGATATGAGGACTAAAATGCATCATATTTGCACCTTCCAAGATTCTTGTGTAGCTGATGCTAAAACGCATCAAGCTCACTCCTTTTCTTCAATTTTCGATAGCTTAATAACACTGCCATCAATTTTACACATGAAGGATACTAGGTTTTTGTCAGTTTTATCTTTTATGAAAGAATTCTCGGCTAGAATTCGTGCTTTTGCTAGTTGCTGATGTAAATCATAAATGTTAATATGATTGTTTTTTCTATTGTAGCCTACTTTCCATATTACTCTGTTAATATATGCATATTTTACCTTACTAATTTTCTCCACTCCCACCATGCTAAAATGCCAATGTGTCACGGTCTGAGTGTTTTGACACTGGATCAGGCGACACGATCTTGCCATTTGGTGGTAAGGACATTAGCCTAGTGTGGAAACGGGGTTTGAGAGCACAAAGCAACACAAGTGGGCGTTAGGATCTTAAGGGGCGCTCTTGTGGGTGATCAGGGCTTGTGATGGCCGAATAAATTTGGCGGGCACAAGCGGGACCTAATCACGAGTTTCTTATAGTGTCTAGTGAGTATAATGTGCTACTATGCATGCAAAACACAATATCTATAAAGGTGTAACAACAACGCAAGCATAAGAAAGCAAAGCAACACCTGATAGAAGGCCTTTGGATTCATTAATCACTTGCTCTCTAAAGAGCTTTAGTTTGCATTTACAAGATTCTCCCATTGAACGCTGGATGGGTTGACAGTAATGCAATAATTGCATCTAAGGCCTAGAAAACTTATACTAAAGCCTATAAAAGCATCCAAAACATGGAAAGGAGGTTGGATTCTAACATAATGGCTAATATCTGTTCATCAGTACAATCCTTTTAAATGTGTAAGAGTCCTGCTAGGACCTGTTATCAAGGTTGATATCTCTTAAAGTTTGTGCTTCTCTTGTCTCTTTGTCCCTGTAACAGTAAATAAAAATATTCTAGTATTTTATAGGAAAGTTCCTTTGGGTCTTGTACAAGTGAGCTGACATTATATGTATGGAACTGAAGTGCAGGGATGGAAGGTTTTGATCTTTCTTCATCTTCCACTGAAAGCAACTGCTTTGGGAAATATGAGATTGCATTGTTATGTTGTGGAATGATGCATGTTCACTTTGGCCATCCTAAATTAGCTCTAGAAGTATGTACACCTGAACACATGTTTTTTACCTAACATTGTTTTAGGGAAGATTTTTTTGCTTACTTGTTCTTGTTAATGTTCAGGCTTTAACAGAAGCAGTCCGTGCTTCTCAGCAGGTAAAGGGGCACTTTTTATCTAAGTTACTTTTGTAAAATAATATGTGCTAATTTCATTGCGCTTCTAGGCCTGCATATGCTAGCCAATTGGCTTTTCTTTGTCCTCTATTCTCACTTATCTACAAAAATTTTTGGGCTTTCTTGAGGTGCATTTTTAATAAAGATAAAATAAGCTTTCATTAGACAATATAAAGTACCTGTTAGATGTCAAAACTTCCTTTCTACTTTTCTAGACATTTAAACCACAAGGATAATTGTAATTCTAAAATCGCTGCAAGTTTGTAAGGATCTATTGTCTAATCAATTAATTCCACTTTATACTTAACCAACTTATTAGTTGCGTTTTTTCTTTGGAAATGTTGGATTGCTCTCTAACTAAATACTCTACAAAATGCTTATAAAACATTAGTGCCTAAGTAAAATCTTTTCCCTATCATCCTAAAACACCAATAGCTGATTAGGGATGTTTGAATTCTCTCTTATATATAAAGAAATTATATACTAAAAAAAGAAAAAATCAAAATGGGGGAGCACTGGTACCCAGAAATTAAGCAGACACTAAAACAGTGCTTATAGCTATCTGTGTGTTAACAAGTGATATTCCAGAGGTGTCTTGGGATCATGTGGACTAGTAGATGCTAAACACATTTCTCTCCAACCAATTTAACGTCTTGGTAAGAAGAAAGCTGATTGCTACACCTTTTGCCTCTTATTCCTCAAGAAGTCCACTAATGGGAGTCATAGCTTGTTGCTCATGCAAATCTACTCTTGCATTTCTTGAGCATATCATGTAACTCATTTACAATGGCGACAACTCTCTTTTTAAATTTTCTGTCATGAATATTAATTGGGCTAACAACCCTTCTGTTTCCTTGCAGCACAGCAATGATGCTTGCCTTGCTTATACATTGACAGTTATATGCAACTTGCTGTCTGAATTTGGTATAACAAGTGCTTCAAGGATACTTGGATCATCTTACTCACCTATGACTAGTATTGGTTCTTCTTTAACCATCCATCAACAGTTATATGTTCTATTACGAAGAGCTCTTGCTAGATCGGAAGGTCTAAAGCTGACACCATTAGTGTCTGCGAACCATCTAGCAATGGCAAAATTTGACCTGATGGTAAGAATTTTGAATGATTTGTATTAATCGTGCTCTTCTATGTGATTCCTGGTTTCCTTCTCTGGCTGGTCGCTGGTGACTTGGGTTTTTATTCCCCCATATATGGCGTTCTTTGTTTAAGTTAAACATATACTCCCTCCCATACAAAGTGTGTAACATGTTAGCCAATTTCCTTTCATTCAAAATGTTAGTCATTCCTTAATAATAACGCTACATCACATGTTTTATTTAAAATCTAGTTATTTTTTTTAATACTAATGCAATATATGCTGCTTAACAGCATGATTACCTTTTGCAAATTCAACCAAATTGATGGATTCTTTACATGTGTGATAGTTGCAAAATTTACAATTTTGTATGAATTAGAGAGAGTATTCAGCGTTTTAGTTTGGTACTATCTTTTTCATGTGTTTCTTTGATCTGTATTTTATTCACCATTATACTTGTCTAAATTAACATACAAAATAATTTAGTTGAAATCTTTCTTAAATTGACCTAAATCCTTGATTATCAATGCCATATACAAAGGTAGCCCGTGTAGAGAAACATAAACTAACTGCTATGAAAGGGCAAGAAATGAACGGACTTCCAAATCTTCGATGTTCTGATTGACATATTAGCAAGAATGTGCTAAACATAATGTATCTAGCGGAGGAAAAAGGATGTGATTTAGAAAGATAATATGGTATCATATTAAATTAGGTTGAGCTTTTTACCCATTGTTGCTTTATTTCTCACAACTGACAATTTGGCATTAAGCTAGAACCTTTTGCATTCTGTTGAGCTGAAAAGCTAACAGTCTATGCCTTCATAGAATAAGTTGTAACTGTGATTTCAGTTTGAACTTGAAAACTCTTATTATTTACAAGGGTACCTAGGCATGGGTCTTTCTTGTTCTTTTGTCATTGTGTGTGAGCCGGGCTGCATATTCCTGGAGCATATTCCTGGAGGTTCATGAGAAGTACACTCAGTTTTAGAATGCCCTTCTTGGACTAGAAAAGACTCTGCAGTTGCAGGGATCTAGATTAGTTGGTGGTTGAACAGGTGAGCTATACACATGCAATATTCTTAGAGCCCTCCTTTGCTGTCTTTAGTCTTTGTACACACTTTGTAAGCGTCTTTTTATCTCAACAATTTGATTTTTTTTTTTTTTTTTTTTTTTTTTTTTTTTTTTTTTTTGTGTGTGTGTGTGTGTGTGTGTGTGTGTGTAAAATAACATAAGGAAATAGAAATATGTTCTAATTTTCTTATCTAGCTGACCCTCCTATGTTGATATTAGCTATGCTATTGCTCTCAAGTTTTTGAAGGAAAAGCTTATCTATCTTCCTCCTTGATTTACACATCACACTTTCTTTTTTTCAATTGAAGAATACCGTTTAAGTAATAGCATGAGTTAGTTATTTAGATAAAAGGGGCTTCAGTGTAGATAAGAGCTGGGGTAGAGGTCTCAAAACTCTCATTATCTTGAAGGAAGAGCTCATGTATTGTCCTCTCCCTTGACTTGCCTCAGGTGTGAAGAGGTATTGTAGTCTTGTGTTTCCCAAGTTATTGTCTGCATTACTTGGAGAAAGATGCTAAATAAATGTGCCATATCTAGATGGAGAAGAGAAATTGCAGATAACGTATAAATGGTAAATGAGTAACTGTTGCCCAGAAATAAGAATTTCATGTCCCATTGTGAACAAACTAAATGAAGTGCAACTAGTTTGGGGTCCTTCCATACTCTTGCTACTAGTATCTAAATTAATGTTGGGGTAGTTCATTCTAAAGTACAGTCCTAGCTTTACTGAACCATGAGTGAGGCATCTCACTTTTCTGCTCTATTGCTCTATAATTTCTGTTTTGAGTTAATGATTTTTTCCAATCCAATTGTAGATTTGAATGTTGTTAATTAACTATTTATTTTGCAAATTTACTTAGGTGCTGTATTTGTAATATATGTGCAGCATGTCCAAAGATCTATGCTATCTTTTGGTCCCAAAGCATCTGTTAGCCTTAGAACACGTCCAGCTGATGTTTTTCAGGTATCATGCTAAATTCCCGTTACTTTTGCTTTTCAATTTTCCATTTGGTATTACAAAGTTTTACACTTTCTTCTCATGCTATTATATACAGGAACTGAGGCTAAGCTCCCATGTGGTCGGTGAATTTAGTAATGAAGCCTCTGCAGTGTCTCGTGATGGTGATTTTGCTACAACATGGCTGAAGAACCCACTTAAGCCAATGGGTCCTCTAATGATAAACTCAGAATATGGTTCAGGAAGTGATTGTAGTACATTTGAGTTTTGTGCTCAACAAAGCTCAATTCCTAAATCTGTGCTACAACAACTTGGTTCCTCATTCTTACTTCGCACCACAGCATGGGAGATGTATGGCAGGTGAGGGTTAATGATGTCACTCTGTGTAGGCTATTGTGTTTTATTTCTCCACTCATTTAGTTTGGTTTTTCTTCCCCAAGCCTATGATTCTATTTTTGTTTGTTATTTATATTTGTTTTTATTTTTATTGCTGTTATTATTATTGTTTGACCTGTCTTTTATCTGTTTTCTCAATTTGTGCTGTTAGCAACTCACTTGCCAGGATAAATGCCCTTATTTATGCCACTTGCTTTGCTGATGCTTCAAGGTAATATGTTCATTTTCCCCTCAAGCTGGTTATACTAATTTCATGTAGGCAAATATATAGTATAAAGCTGTTTGTTGTTTATTAACAATTTCCCTTTGGCTGCATCAGCTTGGATAATCTTGCCTTAGCCTGTGTGAAGCTTGTCCAACAACTTGCTGCTTATAAAGGCTACAGGGGTAATGTTACATATAGTAGCTCTCAGTTGAATATTTAGAAGTACTCTTGAGTCTTGACTATAGTATACGTGTGCTGTCTTCCGATTTGGAGCATCATTTTATTTTCCTGATGGCTGTTCATATAGTAATCTTTGTTGTTGATTAAAATACCGTTACTTTTCAAAAGATATAACAGTCATCATAATAACTTTTGCTGTATATTTTATGCAGAAGCATATGTTGCATTCAGAATAGTTGAGAAGAAGTTCCATGTCATTTCAAAATCAAGAGTCTTACTATTGAAGCTTCAGCTTCTCCATGAACATGCCTTGCATAGGTTTTTCTTCTTTGTGGCATGCGTCCTTGTGATTTAGAGTGATACTTTGTTTTCTTAGTTGCTACACTTTTACACTTGCTAATGTGCAATTTTGATCATTAATATCTTTAATTCTCAATTTGTAACAAACTAATAATTACAGATGGTTGATCATATAAGAATACATATATTTATAATCCAACAATATTTTTGTAGAAATTTTTATGATCAAAGTACCCCCTCTGTCCCAAAATAGTTCAAACACTTTTCTTTTTCCATTCGTCCCTAATTTGTTTGAACACTTTCGAATTAACATAGGCCCTTCTAATATTTTGATACATCTCCTTTTCCACTATAAAAAATTTAGGGCCCCGCTTTTTTTCACATCCAATAAACAAATATACCATCTCTACTCTTTTATGTTCTAGTCACTTACTATAGATACACAATATAATGAATTGTTGTAGAATTTGAGTGGGTGTAAGATAAATTAAGAGAGAATGCATAAAGGTGGGGTTGTGTTAAAACAAGGTGAATAAAGTAAGAGAGAGTATGGAAAATCGTAATTATTGTGAGGTTGAAGTGGTAAGATGGTAAAAGGGGTATGCCATAAATAGAATAAAACAAAGTGAGTAGAACATAAAAGAACGGCTTAGAATGGTAAGTCAGCAGAACACAAAAGAACTGAGGGAGTACTTTATTATCCTCTTATCACATCTACTTTTTAAATATCCACTTTCCTATTAAATAATACTTCATCTGTTTTTATTTAGTTGCAACAAATCTATTTTCCACCCTTGCCAATGCACAACTTCAACCATTAATTTTTAAAAAATATGCATTAAGATGAGTCTAACAAGATCCCGCATGATTGTGTTTTTACTTAAACATAATCACCAAGGATAGCTAAAGTAAAATTTGTGAATAGTGCAAAAAATGGAAGCATTGCAACTTAATAAGTACAGAGGAAGTAATTGGTACCATTTCAATACCTTATCACCTAAAACTCTATGCCCAGAGAAGTATTTTGAATATTTTGGTAAAAAAACAATTTATAAACATTAACAGTTGAATAAATCTGAAAAGAGCTTTTTAGCTAGTAATTTAGCTAGCCTCACTTTTATTGGGTCCCTTATACAGAGGACATTTGAAGCTTGCTCAGCAAGTATGTGATGAACTTGGTGCATTGGCTTCCCCTGTGATTGGTGTTGATGTAGATATCAAGACTGAAGCAAGCCTTCGCCGAGCTCGAACATTGTTAGCAGCAAAACAATTTAGCCAGGTCAAAACTCACTTTCTTCCTTCCATAGTTCTATTTACTTGGCTTGTTGTAATGTGGTGTTTGGTAATTTATGTCTTGATCTTTGTCAAACATTCTGCTGAGTATCCCCGCTTGTAATAAATCCTCTACTACTACAAAACTTATCATTGTCATCTTTGTGTAATAATACTTTGTCATGGAGTAGATGGTTTAGGTACATCGTAAGGTCAGAGGTGATGGATCTTACACCGTTTGACATTTTAGCATTAGATAGTAGTATTGGATTGGATCTTTAGACCTCATATAACTAAGTTTAGAGTGTTCGTTACTCTTAATTTTTTATAAATGTATTCAATTATCACTTATCATATACATGGGCATTTTGGTGCCTACAAAGTAATAACGCTGTCATTGCCGTGTTTAAGTAAGAAATTTGTTGATGGTATTAATATAACTGGAAGGCAAGGATCCAAGAGTTATCTATGATTTTTAAGGTAGGTGTTTTAACCTCCGTGGAAGAGGGGTGTGGATACTGGCTGCATTGTGTGGTTTCATGGTCTAACTCTTGCAATTACCAAATTGTGGTTTTAAAAACAGATAAGGACAAAAATGTCCAGTAGGAAAAGTAAATCCTTCCATTCTATTTATTTTGCACTCCTCTGTATGGTTGTCTATGGAGAACCAAATTTCATATACTAGAACATTATGCTCCATGTTTAATTTGGTTTGAGCTGTGAATCAGACATTCATATCTACGTTTGTGTTTCGCCATTTATTAGGGGCACTTGGAGCTTAGGAAGAGGAGATTTGGAGGAAATAGGAGGGGAGGGAGAGTAAGAGATTGGTTTTCTGTTTGCATGATTTGGAGAGAAAGGAATGGAGAGACAGAGAGAAGGGGGGGGGGGATCCAATTTTCTCGAGTAAATTCAATTCTTCAACTGTTAAAATGATAATGCTAGCTTTTTACTCCTCCCTCATCTTTCCCTTCCTTTTTAATTGTTACCCAAACTAAGTTTAGATGTCATGCTTGCAGGCAGCACAGGTTGCACAATCTCTTTTTTGCACTTGCTACAAGTTCAATTTGCAAGTTGAAAATGCAACAGTTCTGCTGTTGCTTGCTGAAATCCACAAGGTAGCAAATACATTTTGAAGCTATTCGTGTTATTTTTATATCTATTACATAGAATTGTATTGTATGCATATTTGTTGTTGTGATTGGCCAGCATTGTTTATGTTGTTAGGATTTAGGAAGTATAGGAACCCTTAAAACCTCTATGTGTGGCAATCATATAATTGGGCCTAGAAGTGTGACCTATACCTCTTGTCCTCTTTGATGTCTGCTCTTGTCAAAATTATTTATGCTGTTTGGATCTCCTTCCCGCCCTCTTAAAGGTAGAAATCCCGCTCTTTAGCCTGATTGAAAAAATAAGGAAAGAAGAATAGGCGATGCTAATTGAAGCTTTCTGCTGGTGTTCTGGTGTAGATGTTTTACAGAAGGCTGGGTAGCTTGATTCTATTTTGCTTTATGTTAAGTTATATTGGAGGTTTTGGTATATAGTGATGGATAAGAAGTCTTTTGATCTTTGGCAGGGAAGGTAGATTGTAAGTCTCATCTACATGTATATATTGTGTTGGTGGATGGTATCTTCTGCTTTGATGCTAGGTTATTACTCTCCCATCTTATCAGTTTTGGCAGTCAATCATCTGAGTTGGTTGTTTGTCCATGGGAGACTCGGAGAAGTATTGGTTTCATGAATGGTTTTCATTTTGTTTAGCCTGAGGTGATAGTGTCTCCTTTGTAGTTTACAGATGATATTGTTACTTTCTTGTGTAATTTTCACACGCTTCATTATGTTTATTGGGTCAATTTTGATTCTTAGGTTTAATTTCTCTAAGTTTGTTATCACTGATGGGTTTTCTTCTTTGTTGGGGTTTTGTCACTAAGTTTGGTATTGCCAATATTATGTTTTTTGAATGGCTCTTTGGTCTTAGGATTAATTTATTTTAGTATCACCCCTCCTTGCATGTCCTATGTCTGCTCTAATAATAAGTACTTTATCTGTAAGAAGGAAATTGATTGATAACTTTTGCTGTCACAGAAATCAGGAAATGCTACCCTAGGCCTCCCGTATGCATTGGCTTGTATACTGTTTTGTCAGTCTTTTAACTTGGACCTTCTGAAAGCATCTGCAACCCTCACACTGGCTGAGTTATGGCTCTCGTTTGGACCAACTGAAGCACATAGAGCACTGTCACTCCTTCATGGAATTTTCCCGATGATTCTTGGCCATGGAGGTTTGGAGCTCCGTGCACGGGCACATATTATAGAAGCTAAATGTCATCTCTCTGATGCAAGTTATTCAGGTGTTACCTATTTCTCTGCCAGTTTGTCTTTTTGACTTGCTAAGATCCTTGTTCTCCTGTGAAAATTGTGCACAGTAAATGAAACAAGTGCAGACGTCACATTCCATGAAAATGCATTTGCATGCTAAAATTGGTAGATTAAAATGAGAGGGTGCCTAGAAAGAGAACACTTTAGGGTTATTTATTTTTTATTTCTATTTTTAAATTTTTTGAAAAGAACACTTTAGTTGATGGTTCTTGAAATCTGTGGCAGTTTGGGCTAGCTGGCTGGTTTATATTTTGTTATGGTAGATTTTGCTAAGCTGGCTTCACACCTCTTGCGAAAGTTATAATGAATACGTTGATAGAAAATTAGTTGCCTTGCTGGTTATGGCTGCAGCACTAAGACCTGTCGCCTGTTTATGACTACTAGAAACCAGAGGACCCTTTTGTTTCCCAGGTTGGATGAATCTTAGTTTGTCATAGAGATAAAATAGACGATTATGCTGTACTCCAGGAAATGAATTACCTCTATCCAGTACAACTTTGTCTCTATTGCACTTGTCAACTGTGCTGCTTGACCTGTATCTAGATGTTACTAATTATGGGTTTGGATCTCTTGTTAGTGAGTCAAACACCAGAGGCAGTGCTCAACTCTTTGAAGGAAGCCTGTGAAGAGCTTGAACTTTTGGAGGTGAGTAATCTTACACTTCATTCAAGTTTTCACTCTGAAGCATGCCATTTTAAGTATCCACATCTCATATTGATTGGAAAACTTGTAATGTGTTTTTTATTTGTTAACTGCAGTATCATGAGTTGGCTGCGGAGGCTTACTATCTGATGGCTATGGTATATGACAAATTAGGCTCCTTACAAGAGAGGGAGATGGCCGCAGCCTCCTTCAAGGATCACTCTGCTGCTTTAAAAAATCCTCAAGATTCCGAGGATGACACTTCAAACAATATGTAGACAAAGTACAAATGCTACCCTTGCTTTTTACTTTTTCCAAGGATTGACCTCTTCTAGCTTGCAGATGTTGGGGGGATTTAGCTCAGGGCCAAATGGTGGCCAAGCCTCTTCTCTAATGGGAAGGACAAGCCAAGGCATACCAACCACCTGACCTCCAACAAGGCAACATATGACAGTCGACAAATGCCTGCGTGATAATGTACAAAACTAGTTGTATTGCAGAAGCAGTTCTAACCATCTTCACAATTTACAGTAGGCTTCTGGGTGGTTCTGCTAGAAATGGGAAGCATAGAGATTTTTGTAGTTAGCTTGGTGAAAATCCTTCCATTGTGATGTATACAGTATGTTCAATGTTCAGTAAGATGTAATATCTGATATGTCGTTGCAGAAATTTCATGTAATTGAAATTTCATGTCAAATGGCCTTTATGTGATCGGCATTCTAACTTTCAAAAACATCCGACCAAGATTACAAATTCACACAAGAATTTACAAGAGCAAACATACTGATCATGTCAGTTTTAAATATCACGTAAATGCACCATGAAACAACATTTATAATTTTATATAAAACCCCATATTACACTACATGTGCCTCTATGCATACATACAAGCATACAGCAGCCCATCTTCACACAACGTTAATGTAACTAGCGTTTGTGCTATGTTCCGGGGTCTATCTTGGCTGCTACCATCATAAAGATACCATGGTCGTGACTCATGAGCACATTGATGTTGTCCATGTTCATATTTTCAGGCTGCCGAAAGTGTCTCATGAACCTCCCATGACTACGCTCGATGTGATGCCTCCTATTAAAAGCATTTTCCCACTCCTTGAATTTATCTCAAATATGTTTGTTGTGCTGAATTTGAACCTTCACTAGAACTTTCCGCACCCCTGTAAACATTATTGATATTATTACTACAAAACCCAACTATTTTAGATAGAAGAGATCTTGCTAAGTAGCAAGATGATGAATATATAGAACACAATCCTATAGCACACCCTATTGCTAGGGTTTCTTCTTTTGCTTTCATTTTCTTAACCTGACTAATTCTTATGTTTTTTCTACTTTTAAAGAGAATAAGGCACCACTCAAAACAAAATTGTATGACATGTCGTGACATACAACTATGAGAGGGATAGGGATGAACTAGGAAAAATGATAGTACACGCCGAACAACCTTTTCTTTTCTCGGAAAGTGACGCATTCAACACCTACATTAACAAAGCACTACAACCCCAACATAAAAGAATCTCTAGGAAAACCGTTCGTTCCGCCGCAATGAAAAATTTCCTAGAGTACAAAGTCCGGTTACAAGCCGAATTGAGTAACCTTAACTGTAGAGTATCTTTAACAGCCGATTCTTGGGATAGTAGTTATAAATATCACTATTTATGTGTGACTTGCCATTGGGTAGATGATCAATGGATGTTACAAAAAAGAATAATACATTTCAAAATGCTGGAATACCCACACACCGACATTAACATTGCTCACCATTTAATGCAAGCAATAGACGAATACAACCTTCGAGATAAAATGATGTCTATGACTTTTGATAATGCAACCTCTATGACATACACAGCTAATCTTATCAAACAAAACTTAACCGATGTACTATTAGACGGTGAAGCTCTTCATACTAGATGTGTTTGCCATGTACTTAACTTATGTGTACAGGATGGAGTTCGGGCAATTGGCCCATACTACAGCAAAATCAGAGATGCTATTATGTCTATTAATAGCTCTAACATGAGATACCAAGAATGGAAGAGTTTTCTAAAACAACAAAAGATAAGGGTAATAAAAATTAGAACCGATTGCCCAACTAGGTGGAATTCCACCTATGACATGTTAACAAAGGCAATTGAGTACAAGGGCCCGTTAACATTATTTTACAACCAAAAATTTCCACAAAATGCTTTGTATGATGATGATTGGAAAAGCTGTGAAAGATATATGCAATTTTTACAGTTATTATATAACATGACGTATTGTTTTTCTACTGTTTACAATCCTTGTGCTCAAAACTTTCTTTCTAATGCATGCTTACTCGCCCAACTTTTCGCTGATCATCGCCATCAAAGTGATTATGATCAGTATCTTCCAGCAATGGAAAAAAGTGGCGTAAATATTATAGTGAGATTCCTTTGATTTATATTTTTGCTTCCATATTAGATCCTAGGCAAAAGTATGAAAACACATTTATGTTAGTTGACATTTACTTTCAATGCATGTTTCTTGACGATGATGTAGAAAACTATAAGACTAATGTGAAGGATCAGTTTTTTGCTTTATATAGAGTCTATGAAGCCAAATATGGCACCGTTCCTCGCTCAGGGCCTTCCCAACCATCCAAAAAAGTAAGTAAGAAGGCCAAACATTTATTTTCACAAGCTACTAACTTGTTTTCAAGGTTTTCAGGTGATTCATCAATCAGGAGAACGCAAAGCGACGTCTCGGAGTTGCAGATGTACCTGAGTTACGACTTCACCAAAGGCATGGACGACGATGAGATAAACAGCCTCGACCTCCTTGCATGGTGGAAACAACAAAGCTCGAAGCATCCAACTTTGGCGGCAATGGCACGAGACATTCTTGCTATCCAAGTTTCCTCCGTCGCCTCCGAACGAGCTTTCAGCGCATCCGGAAGGGTTTTAGACGATAGAAGAACAAGTCTAAAACCCGAAACACTAGAAATGTGCGTGTGTTTCAAAGATTGGTTGGATGCGGAAAATCGCTCACAAGACCGTTCTTACGACCACAACGACAACGAAGAAGGAACCTCCGCTTCCGGTTCGGGTTCGGCTAGTTCCCAATCTATGCAACTAGCCGATGACCTTGAAGGCGAAGGCGAAGACGAAGACGAAGACGAAGACGAGCAAGAAGAAGGAGAAGAAGAATAGACAACTATTGTATATTGTACGATTTTAAAAATATCAATTTTATCATTTTCCAATTTTTGTTTAATACCATCATTGTATGATTTTTATCATTGTTATCATTGTACAATTTTCTCAACTCAAGTAATAATAATATAAAGTACGCATTATTCACATCCAAAGTCCAATTTGCCTTTTTTCCCGTTTTGTTACAATTTGTAAATTCATATTAAAATAAAATAAAATTATACCAATTACTAATAAATCATAAACATTAAATTTTAAAGTAATAGTATAAAGTAAATATATAAATATAAATATAAATATTGAATATACAAATTATAAAACATAAATATTCAACTTATAATTATAAAATTCATAACTTAATAACTTATAAATTATAAGTTATAAACTTATAAGTTATAACCTTATAAAACTTATAATTATAATTTTATAACTTATATACATTATAAACTTATTAATTTATAATGTTGTCATAAAAAAAAAAAAAAAATTTGAAAACTGCACCAGCCCGCAGGCCGGCACGTGGCCGACACGGCACGAGCCCGCCAGGCACGAGGGCCGTGCCGTGCCGTGGGCAGGCCTGTGAAAATGGCCGGCACGGCACGACACGAAATCCTGGGCCCGCCGGCACGACCGGCACGAACCAGCCCGTGGCCCGCCAGGCACGGCCCGCGGCGGCACGGCCCGGCACGGTGCCCAGGACTACTCGTGAGTTTGTATTTTTTTTTTTTTTTTTTTTTTTTGCCGCGGTTCATCTATAGTAAGAAGATAATACGAGTAATTACAAAGCAAGTGTAGTCATCTCAAATCACATAAATTTCTACCTTTTTATATAAATTGAATTAATCTAATTTGAGATTACTAAAAAATGTAATGCACAATATACCCATTGTATATTTTCTCCTGACACAAAAAGAGACATGAAAAACAAATCAGGTAGATCAGCACAGTCAACATCACAACATGAGCACTTGAGCAGCATCCGTTTGACGGTAGTCAACATGAGCATGAGCTAAAGCAGAAGTATCATCGTCTCTATAATTGATGGTTCAGGGTTCAGACCATCAGAGCATAAATACTCTGAAAGGTCCTGTTATAGATTGAAGAGTATCAAATAAGCACATTTTTGTACCAAAATTAAATATTAGGATACTAATTACTCCGTAGAAATTAGGAGTTTTTTTTTTTTGGATACTAAAATATTTGATTTTGGTAAAAAAATGTGATTATTTAGTACTACAGTTACCTTGCGACCTACTCCACGTAAAGATGGCTCTAAGTTGTGCCGGGTCGTGCCTCGTGTTAGGCTCACGTGCTTTGGGGTTAGTTAGGCCCGGCCCACGAGTTTCGTGACGTGGCATGCTGGGTCTAAGTTTTTAAAATGTTGGCCCGTGCACGGCCCACGCACACGTACCATCGTGCCGGATTTGCGTGCTTAAGCAAAATTACATTGATTTTAGCATGCTTTGTCGTGCCGTGTCTTATCGTGCTTCTCCCAAATAAAGGCGACCCAGGTCCGGCCCACCGCCCACTGCCCACACACACGGTACCATGCCATGCTGTGCTTTTTTCGTGCTCGTGTCGTGTCGTGCTTTTTTTGTGCTGGGCCATGCCAGACTTCGGGTCGGCTCGACCTAGTGCCATCTTCAACTCCGCGTTCACACTTTTATTATTCTTATTTAATTCCTATGCTACTAGGATTTTGGGAAGCGTCCTAAATGGTAGAAAAGAGATACTTGCTTGCAATTATTTAATAGTTGGAGCTACTAGCTATTCAATGTGAAGCTACAGGAATTGTACTTTGTAGCTTCAGTGAAATTACATAACTTTACAAAGTTATGTAGTATTGCATTTACTAAACTATGTACTATCTAATAAATTGCATTTTATTATTTTGTTACAAGGGATGTAGCTTGCTATTGTGAGGGTTGTAGTCTAAATTGATGTAATTTGAAAATAATGATATGCTAAGCCAGGAGAGAAGCCAGGATTTGAAATCCAAAGGACCGAGACTTATATGAACTAATATAGTATAGTATTTTATATACGTGGTATATGTTTTCTATTGCAAAGAATAATTAAAATTTGCAAAATTAACAAAAAGAAAGGTTGAAGGGATAATATCAAACAACAAGAATCGGACTCAGGACTTCTTTGTCAGTGCCCAAGAATCATACCACTGTTCCTAGTTCCTACCGCTGAGCTAGGAATTACAATGTTATATTAGTACACAAATTCATTTTATAAAATAACATTTTAAAGGGGTTCGGTTTTGACAATAAAGAGATTTGCCATTGGGCCACGATGGTCGGCCGCGGGCCTCCACCAGCCTCTCACATGGCTTCGCCCCTTTGGTAAGCCAAAGTTACAAAGGATGTAGCTTGTCATTGTTGATGCTCACCTAAATATATACAAGGGTGTGTTACTTTCACCTGATTAGACATGAACTTATTATTTGAATTGAAATTAATTAGACTTGATTGAAACTTATAAGCTCTTTAACTATTATTATTATTATTATTATTGGTAAAGTCGTTACTAATAA